TAAACTAGAGAAGGTATTCCCTAGTTTAAGGGTTGTGGTCTGCATTGTTACTCCTTTTGCTATGTATATCCCAGTCATGTACATGTACCTTTGTTGATTACCTTTTCCTTCTATCTGCTTGTTCTGTTTATTCACCATTCCTGTTTCCTTAGTGATTTTGGCCTCCGCTTTTTTTTGCTTTCCAGTATCAGTCACCTTGCCTTGCATATTCCCCATCCCCTTATTCATTATTGTTTGCTTCTGGTGCTTTCTGCTTCTCTTTTTCTTCTTTAAGCCACTTCCTACATTCCTTCATTTAATGTCCATAATTGTCACATTTCCCACATAGTACAGGTTTCCATTCATACACAACCTCTTTATCCATTATTTTTCCATGTTCATTCTCAAACATTACTTAATTAGGATATTTTTTATTCAGTTCTACCTCTACCAACACCCTAGCATATGTCAATCTTTCCCTTTGTGAAGTTGCATTATCTGCTTTGAGAGGTTTGCCAACCATCCCTGCTATCTTTGTTAAAGCAGTTTTTCCCTAGTACTTGATTTCCAGCCCCGGCAGTCTTACCCACACTGGTATCTTCTCCATTTGTATTTTTGTGAACTCTATATCTGGTGTCCATGCTGTGACTGTAACTGGCTTTCTGTCAAACATTTGGACTCCATCCTCAATTACCTTGTTCCTGTCTTCCATATTATGGAATCCTACAATGAATACCCCTCTACTAGTCCGTGCAACTTTATCTACTCCTAATTTCCCCCAAATTCTCCTAAAATAACCATCCATTACTGATTGTGGAGGATTGGACCCTAGAATGTAACAAACCACCACTGATGCCCAGTAGTTTACCTCCTCTTTAATATCTTCTGATGTTATTTTCACAGTCTCATGAATTTCTACTCCATTACTTAGCTCTAGTCCCTCAGTATTCGGAACTTCCCCAACTACTCGACTCCATGACTTTGTAGCTGAATTCAGTTGCGTACCTTCATTTTCCTTTTCTCTGACTTCCTCTCCTTCATAATCTGCCCAGTATTTCCTCCCCGTGGTTGTAGATCCATTTTCCTTCTCTGCATGCATGGTACTGTTCCTTAGTGGCGTTCTCTCCGATGTTGCTATAGTTAGGTCCAGTGGTGTGATGCCTTGGATTGCGTTTATACTTCGTTGTTTCCTTGCGTTTGCTGAGTCCGGAACTCCTAATTTCACCATTGTTAGCGGTTGGTTGCTCTGATTTCCTCTTCCTCTAGTTTTAGATTTTCTCGTCATCAGCAGAGCTGAGAGAAGTTCTCATTCTAGAGAGAGAAAAAGTTTTTTCCGGAGGAAGTATTTCTCTAGATCTAAAGATTATCTTATTTAGGATAATAAGATCACTCAATTATCACTATTTCCTCAAAATATGCTAGGCTCCTTCTCTCCTTGTTTGCATGAAAGCCCTTTGTTTTTTTTTTTAATAAAAACCTATTATCTAAACGAATTTGAATTAAAAATGAAGTTTTTAAATTTTTAGGTAATGTTTAAAATTAAAATTAAGATATAAAAAAATTGAATTTGACTTACTTTAGGGGTTTAGTTTAATATATTGCTAGATATTAATATGACAACTTGGAATATCTATATCTTAACATGAAATAGACTAACAAAAAAATATATTTAATATAAGACTAATAACATAATATTTCAATATAAAATATAAGACTAATAATATAATATTTTAATATAAATATTATACTAATGGAAATTATGTAAAAATAAAAAGATGTCGATGGTACAAAAATAGAAATACCAAAAATTTACGCGCCACATATTTAAGGATAAGTAACTAAAAATACAAAGGAAAAATTTACACTAGTAACCTGAAAAGTAAAAAGTATATAAGCTACTATAACAAGTTATATTAAAATGATGATGTAAAAACTTTTTAACACAGAAATATATAATACACGTAGTTTTTTTATTTTATATGAGCATGTTGGTTGACCACAACGCGGCCGCGAATATATCAACGCGTTTGCTAACACTATTTCGATGACCGCAAAATGAAGATTCAGAGAGATGGATTGTTGGGCTATAACATGAACGCGGACCGCGTCAGAAAAGTGCGGCCGCAAAAGTACCGCCGCGGCCACGATTGGAATTATGTTAACCGCGATTACTAAGGTACTTTCGCGGCTGGCTGCACACAAATGTCGACCACCCTTTGGCTTCAAAGCTTATGGTGTTTCTAGCTATTGGGACACTAGCTGTGAGCCATGCGGGTGTCGTACCTAGAATGGCTAATATCTCTGCTAGCCATGGACGGGCTGCTTCATCTAGGGCCAGCTTCTCCGAGTATTGCACGGCTTCCATATCCTCAAAATCGGCATAGTTGTTCAAAGTGTGGCCATCAAACCGGATCTTCATGTTCCGGACCTTTGTCACAGTGGTGACCTTTTTTATATGGGCAACATTTGCGTAGAACTCTTTGACAAGGTACTCATTTGCATCCACCATTTTGCTGGTGAAGTACTTCCACCATTTTCTCTCCTCAAACTGTTTCTTGACATTTGGATTGTGGGGAAGGAGGTCTCTCTCTATGAACTGACGCTCAAGGGTGAGCGACCTTTGGGGCCACCATTCCCGGAATTTCAAATATGCTTTCTTGCTCACGAATCTATCAGCCCATACGTCGGACTTTTTGGACCTGGCCAACCCCCCCACATAGGTATCACCCCCTCTCCCGTCATCTGGGACCTCATCATCATCATCAACATTAATAGGGGTAGTTGTTGAGGCCGATGTTGTAGCAGGTGAGGAAGATGGTGCCGAAGCCTCACTACCTCCCTCTGAGCGCGTAAAAGTGAGCGCGAACGCGTAAAAGTGAGCGCGGCCGCGAAATGCCCATCGCGGACCGTGGAAAAGTGGACGCGGCTGCGAAGATGTCAGGCTTAGACTACTGACTCTCTAAACTTGATCAAATGCGGACCGTGAAAAATAGAACGCGACCGCGAATGACCCATCGCGGACCGCGTAAACATAAACGCGACCTCGAAGGAAAATGATAAACTCTCCGAAGTTTAAAAGTGCGGACCGTGAAAACTTGGATGCGGCCGTGAAGGACCAACTGCGGACCGCGGAAAAGTGGCCACGGCCGGGAAATTCAAATAAAATCGGCACTGAAGAACACTTACAACTAGGGCTTTCACTAATTGTGCAAAAATTATAGCAATATACCATGCAAAGTTACTAACCCCAACCCCCATTAGGCATACAAACACTACCCATGTATTTAAGCAACAATTAAGCATTAATTTGACATTATGGCATGCATTTAACCCTAACTAAAAAGGAAAATTAAAACAAAGAGAAAAGAAAAGAAAAGAAAAAAAATAAAATCAAATTCTTGAAAATGAACATACCAATTGTAAAATGTGGTAGGAAATCTACACTTTATAAGAATGAGATGATGTTGAAACCAACAAAAGATGCACAGTGTTTTAGATGAGTTTGACCAGTTAGGGTTCGTAAAGTATGAAATGATTCAAGAACTCCTATTTATACTCAGAACCAACGGACCCACCGCCTTACCTGAGTGCGGCTGCGAAATTTTGTCACGGTCCGCACTATGTTACCTTTTGTAGATCGGCTTCAAACACATGGGTGCGGTCCGCGAAATATTGGTCGCATCCGTAAAATTTCCGCAGTCTGCAAAAATTTGAACGCGGCCGCAAACTCTGAAGGGATTTTGACAGGCCAACTTCAGAGAGTAGGCATTTTGCTCAATTCAACTACGCGACCGCGCACAGAATTGTGCAGCCGCGAAGTGCTCATGCGGTCCCCGAAATTTTAGGCGTGGTCCGCAAACTCTTGTCACTTAGCCAGATTTCTTCCTTGTCAATTTCCTGCACTGCACCACCAATTCCTACATACACTTCACAACCAGTTAGTCCAAAACAATGCCTAATCTAAGAAGGAAATCAAAAGAAAGAAAAACACATGGGTTGCCTCCAAGAAGCGCCTGATTTAACGTCGCGACATGACGCATGTTACCATCATTCACTTGAAATGGATCAATGCCACAGTGTGGCCATCATCAACCTTACCAAGGTAATGCTTCACCCGGTGCCCATTGACTCTAAACATCTCACCATTCTTGTTTTTCAAATCTAGAGCACCAATAGGAGTTACATGCACCACATCAAAGGGACCGCTCCATTTTGACTTTAGCTTTCCCGAAAACATTCGTAACCGAGAGTTGAATAAGAGAACAAGGTCACCTTCTTTGAATTCTTTATTCCGGATATACTTATCATGTAGGTACTTCATCTTGTCCTTATACAATGACGAACTGGAGTAAGCATGGAATCGGAACTCATCAAGTTCATTCAATTGCTCCACCCGAAGATTGGCAGCTACATCCCACTCTAGGTTCAACTTCTTCAACGCCCACATGGCCTTATGCTCTAATTCCACCGGGAGGTGACATGCTTTCCCAAATACCAACAAATACGGAGACATACCAATTGAAGTCTTGTTAGTTGTTCTATAGGCCCATAAAGCATCGTCAAGTTTCCTTGACCAATCAGTCCGGTTTGCATTGACAGTCTTGGATAGAATACTCTTGATCTCCCTGTTCGAGACCTCAACCTGTCCACTTGCCTGGGGGGTGATAGGGAGTTGACACCTTGTGAGTGACACCATACTTGGAGAGTAAAGTGTCAAAGGCTTTGTTACAAAAATGAGAACCCCCATCACTAATGATGGCCCTTGGGGTGCCGAACCTTGTGAATATATTTTTCTTCTAGAAAGGCACTACACTCCGTGCTACATTGTTAGGCAAAGCCACTGCTTCAACCCATTTGGAAACGTAATCCACAGCAACAAGAATATAGGTGCTTCCACACGAACTCTCAAATGGACCCATAAAGTCGATGCCTCATACATCAAAAATATCAATCTCAAAGATGGTGGTGAGAGGCATCTCATTCTTCTTGGAAATCCCTCCCGCCCTTTGCCAATCATTACACTACTTAACAAGCTTGCTAGCATCTTTGTACAAGGTAGTCCAATAGAATCCACAGCTTAGGACCTTTGTAGCAGTTCTCGCCCCACCATGGTGGCCGCCATATGGCGAGGAATGGCAAGCTTCAAGAATACCCAATTGCTCTTCTTCTGGAACACATCTCAGGATAACACCACCGGTGCAAATTTTGAACAGATATGGCTCATCCCAATAGTTATCCAAGCAGTCCCGTTTGAGCTTCTTTCTTTGGTTTGAAGAGAACTCATTCGGGACAAATCCGCTCAAAAAATAGTTATCCACATCGGCAAACCAAGGCATCCTGGTCAAAGACATGCAAAGGAGTTGTTCATCCGCAAATGAATCATTGATCTCAAGGCCATCATCGGGCCTCCCCTCTTCTTCCAAACGGGACAAGTGGTCCGCCACTTAATTCTCACTCCCTTTTCGGTCTATGATTTCAAGATTCAAACTCTTGTAGAAGAAGTACCCACCTCATCAATCTAGCCTTTGAGTCCTTCTTACTTATCAAATAACGAAGCGCCGCGTGATCGGCGTGAACAATCACTTTGGTACCCATGAGGTACGGGCAGAAATTTTCCATAGCAAAGACATGGCTAAGAGTTCTTTCTCGGTCACCGTATAGTTGACTTGGGCATCTTTCATGGTCTTACTAGCATAGTAGACCGGATGGAATATCTTGTTGATTCTTTGCCCCAACACCGCTCCTACCGCCACATCACTAGCATCACACATGAGCTCAAATGGTAAGCTCCAATTTGGTGCGGTAATGATGGGAGTGGTGGTCTACTTATGCTTGAATAGCTCAAATGCTTTCATGCAATCACATTGAACACAAATTTTGCATCTTTTTCCCACAAATTGCACAAGGGGCTCACCACCTTTGAGAAATCCTTGATGAACCGAAGGTAAAACCCCGCATGACCTAGAAAACTCCTCACTCCTTTGACGGAAGTAGGAGGAGGGAGTTTTAATATCACTTCAATTTTTTCTTTATCCACTTCAATACCATTCTTGGAGATCTTATGGCCGAGGACAATGCCCTCCTTAACCATAAAGTCAAAAGTTTATCAAGATTATCCAAACATTCATCAAAAGAATCCCACACAACAGAGAAATCATCCATGAAAACTTCGAGGAAGTCCTCCGCCATATCCGTGAATATTGCCATCATACACCGCTGAAAAGTAGCTGGTGCATTACATAACCAAACGACATCCTTGAGAATGCAAACATGACATACGAACAAGTGAAAGTGGTCTTCTCTTGGTCTTTAGGTGCAATAAGAATCAGGTTATACCCGGAATACCCATCCAAGAAGCAATAATAAGCACGTCCGGCTAACCTATCCAACAATTGATCAAGAAATGGAAGCGGAAAATGGTCTTTTCGAGTCACTTTGTTGAGCTTTCTATAATCCATGCGTACCCTCCAACTGGTGACAATTCTTGTGGGGATCAACTCATCGTTGTCATTTGTAATCACAGTCATGCCCCCTTCTTTGAGACACATTGTACCGATGAAGTCCATAAACTATCAGAAATGGGGTAGACAACCCCAGCATCCAACAACTTGATGACCTCTTTCTTGACAACCTCTTACATGGCCTCATTCAACCTTCTTTGATGTTCCACAGAGGGTTTGGCATCCTCCTCCAATATGATTTTGTGCATGCAAAAGACAGGGCTTATACCTAGAATATCCGCCAATGTCCAACCTATTTCTTTCTTCCTCCTTTAGAGCACCGCAAGGATAGCATCTACCTGCACGTTAGTTAAGCACGAGGAAAGAATAACGGGTAAAGTGGAACAAGGGCCTAAGAACTCATACCTGAGGCGTGAAGGCAAAGGCTTCAACTCCAATATGGGAGGCTCCTCGATTGAGGGCTTTGTTGGTGGAGTCTTCCGGTTCTCAAGATCCAAGGAAAGTTTCGAGGGCTCATATGTATATGAACCCATTCCTTGCAAAGCATTGACATATTCCACCAAGCCTTCCTTCTCATTCACATCATGATAGCACATCTTCTAATGGGTCTTCCACATTAATCACAGCACTTGTGTCTTCAACAATCACTTCGGTCACAAGATCCACAAACGAACACACTTCGTTGCTATTAGGCTGCCTCATTAACTTGCAAACATGTAACACAACTTTTTCATCGCCCACCCGGAAGGTGAGCTCCCCTACTTCCACATCACCTAAGGCCTTCCCTGTAGCTAGGAAAGGTCTCCCCAATATGATCGGCACCTCGTAGTCAACCTCACAGTCAAGTATTACAAAATCTGCGGGAAGTATGAACTTGTCGACCCGAACTAGCACATCATTAATTATCCCCATTGGCTCTTCATTGTCATGTTTGCCATTTGCAACCTCATGGATGTGGGCCTTGGTTGCCCAATCCCCACTGTCTTGAACACAGAATATGGCATCAAGTTAATGCTTGCCTCCAGATCACACAAAGCTTTGGCGAAATTGGCACTACCAATAGTGCATGGGATTGTAAAGGCACCGGGGTCTTCTAACTTTGGAGCCATGGAATGCACAATGGCACTCACTTGATGTGTCATTTTGATCGTTTCACAATTCATTGATCTCTTCTTTGTTACCAAGTCCTTCATGAATCTGGCATATCCCGGCATTTGTTCTAGAGCTTCAACAAAAGGCACATTTATGGACAAACTTTTCATCATATTAATGAATTTCATGAATTGGTTCTCATTGTTTTGTTTTGCAAGCCTTTGAGGATATGGTGGAGGAGGCCTTCGCAAAGAGGCCTTGGCTTTGGGCACAACCGTTTCGGGTATGTCTATCACGTGTTCCCTAGACGGGTTCAAATCATTTTGTGTCTCCTCCACGTTGTCATCAACGTCTATCCTCACTTCATCATTCGCATTCTCATCACTCACTTGCACATCATTTCTTGGCTCGTCATCATCTTGCACTAACACATCATCAATCACAACCTTTCTTGGATTAGAGGTACTAGCAACTCCACCTCTACCACTTCTTGTAGTAATCGCCATAGCATGGCCCGTATTGTTCCCACCTTTCGGGTTTACTACCGTATCACTTGGTAGTGCCCCCTTAGGGAGAGTATTCAAAGCTTGAGAAATTTGGCCAAGTTGGACTTCCAAGTTGTGGATATAAGTGTTGTGGGAAGTTAATTGGGCATTGGAGTCGGCATTTTTCTTCATCATTTGCTCAAACATTGTCTCAATCCGTCCCATCTCATTGTTAGAAGAGCTAGGACCTTGTAATGGATATGGAGGCGGGTTGTTTGGTTGTTGATACATCGGAGGCCTTTGATAGTTCGACCCTCGATTCCCTTGATTATTGTTATTCCAACCCCCTTGATTGTTATTGCATCCCCAATTACTATTATTGTTGCCTCCCCAATTGCCTTGGTTTCCTTGGTTACCCCAAATTTGATTGTTGTTGTTCCCCCAATTGCTTCGGTTGTTGTTGTTGCCACTATTCCAATTTCCTTGTTGACTTTGATTTCTCCAATTTCCTTGTGATCTCCACTTTTGTTGATTCGGAGCATTGCCATGTCTTGGTAGTTGTTCACATATTGAGCCTCTTCACTTTGATCATCACATGAATCATCTTGATTGTACCCACTACCACTTTGCTCAAATTGGTTCGGATTATTTTGAACTTGTTGACCTCGTTGCCTTCTCTTGTTGATCATCATATTCACTCCTTCCATGGCATTCACTTGTTTTGGCCCTTGAACTTGTTGCAACTGAGCTTTGGCCAATTGGTTCATGGTAGTAGTCAACTCGGCTATAGCTTGGCCGTGGGTATGGAGCTCCTTGTGTAGGTGAATAACATTAGGATCACCTTGTGGCACATTAGCTCGACTTTTCCACGCCGAAGAAGTATCCGCCATCTCATCACGTATTTCACACGCTTCGGCATATGGCGTATTCATGAAGTTCCCCCTGGTGAGTTGGTTAACTACATATTAGTTTGTAGTGTTGATCTCCCTGTAGAAGGTCTGTTGGATCATGGCCTCAGTCATATCGTTGTTTGGGCTCTCCTTTACCATTGTTCGGTACCTCTCCCAAATATCATATAACGGTTCATTTGGCTCTTGTTTAAAAGCAACAATCTCATCTCTTAACATCGCCATATGTCCCGAAGAAAAGAACTTTGCGATTAACTTCACGACCAACTCATCCTAAGTGATGATGGAATAGTTAGGTAACCTTTCTAGCCAATCCAAAGCCTTCCCCCTTAGAGAAAATGGGAGAAGCCTTAACCTCAATGCGTCCTCGGAGACATTAGATTGCTTGCTCCCCCAACATGTATCAACAAAACCTTTGAGATGCTTGAAGGCGTTTTATTGTGGAGCTCCAGTGAAGAAACCTCTATGTTCTAAGAGTGTAAGCATGACATTGGTTATTTGAAAGTTTCCCACCCTAATTCGGGGCGGGACTATTGAACTTGCATAGCCTTCGTTGGGCAACACCCGGTGTGCAACCCTTGGAGGAGATGGGGGAGGGTTTGGAATATTATCATGAGGCGGTCGGCCTCTTCTTTGTGCTTAAGGTTCGGGTTGAATCTCATCCACGTGATCATCATCTACCTCCTCCCCCAATGGTAAATTCCCCAGGGCTTCATTGTTAAGAGCCATTTGGTACCTAAGAGCAATTCACACACATTTTAGAAAAATGGAAGGAAAGAAAAACAAAACACACAACTACTTAGATATATATCTAAAACCGTCTAACTCCCCGGCAACGACGCTAAAAATTGATCGGGTCCAAGCCTGCACTACTATTGAGTAGCGAGGTTGGTCGATGGAGTTTTACCAACTAGGTTGGGATCAAATCCACAGGGATTTAATTTGTTTGGAATTAGATTTATATCCAAGTCTAGATGCGGGTTTTGCTCTTAATTGCACTTCCACAAATGTTTGGTTTGATTTCGACTTCTACTTCTATTCTATTGCATGCAACATTTGAAACTAAGTACAATGTTTTTGTTGTTGATTTTCAAGGGTTAAAGGGACTAGGGTAGTGACTTCTACCTAGGTGGATATCTGAGGAGTAGCAAGAATCTAGGGCAATTATGTGAATTATTCGGGGTCGTAATATAGCTATCACACCCGGGTACTCAATCTATACCTCTCGGTAGTTTGAGTGATTTTCCCAATTTGGCTTTCTCAAGTCCAAATGGGTATTCATGCATTACAAGTGATATTAGCTCAAGTCGGGTATTACTATCTCTAGGTTTAACCCTTTAATTGGGGCTATCAATTTCTTGAGCTCACCCCAATTCCGTGTTAGCCTAGTTTTCCTAGACTTAGTCCCTCTTTCTCAAGTAGAGACTATGTCATGAAGGCATGAATCAGTGTTTGCATCCACTAATTCCATAGTTCTAGCAAGAACTAGGCTAAATACTACTAACCCATACACATTCAAGCCCTAAAACTCAAGACCCATATAATACCCACACTAGGGTTGGGTCACATCGCTAGCTAAGGGTTTAGCTACTCATGGAAATAACAGAAATTAAAGAAGAAATGAAGATAAAATTCATAATACTAGATTAAAAGATGAAAATCTAATGTTGAGAGATAATTACAGTACAAAATTTCCCAAAAAGGAATAACCAGCCGTCTCACGTACTCTGCTAAAACATAACATAACCTAAAAATTTCAAAAAGATCTATTTATACTAAGCTGAAATTTCCGGAAAAAAATACTCCTTGGGAGGTTTCGCGGCCGCGTAATTCTTACCGCGGCTGCACTCTTGCTTTCGTGGCCGTGTAATTCTGACCACGGTCCGTGTTTTCAATTTCTGGATCTGGTTGAACATGGTTTCGCGGTTCGCGCAATTTGCATCGCGGTTGCATAGGAGACTTTTGCGGCCGCGTAATTCTAACACGGACGACACTTCTTGTTTTAGCTTGAAATGTGAACTCTCTGATAGCCTCCATCATGGCGGGGTATCCAATCAATGTGGGGTACCTTATGTCCTACCACATCTCCAAGGCAGTTGGAAATGAAGAAAGATCCTATCCCTAACCCAACTTCATCACCATCTATCTCGAGGACCAAGGGGTCGAGAAGAGGCACTATGACACAAAGGTGAAGCCTAAAAAGCCTTTCTCCTGGTATAACCTCCAAGGACCGGACAACCCTAAAGCAAAGGGTAAAGCTACTACCTCCACTGGCCAGTCTGAAGAGCCAAGGGCAGTGGCCACCGGGTCAGAACCTTCCACAGCAGAGGGATCTTCAGCTGCCATGCCTCCTCCTTCATCCGGGCCATCCATCATCGTGCCATTATCTGTGCCCTCATCTTCCACTTACCCTCAGACAGCACTGCGGGTTTCTCAGACATTATCCAGCATCAACAACTGGATGCAGGAAGCTACATCAAAGTTGTCTGTCTTATCTAGTGCAGTAGCAGCACAGTCAGCCCCGGCACAACTTCAGATACCTCTATCAGTGGAGGATTCATTGAAGGAGCTTCTGGACAACCAAAAGAAGCTCTTGGACAACCAGAAGAAGATCTTGGAGACTTTGGTTATACATGGAAAGGTTATCAAGGATCTGGGCAAGCAAGTGAAGAAGATGAAGAAGACTCAAGCCTCAAAGGAGTCAGTAGAGCTGCTGAAGAAGGAAGTAGAGAAGTTTACATCTGCTGGAGACATCCCGCTGGACTTGCTCATGGAGGAGCAAGCCCCAGCAGCACAGGCAGCAGAGCATAAGGCACCAGATGCAGCAGTTGACCAGTCTGAGGAGCCGACTGCCACTACACATATTGCTGAGGAGATGATCTAGATGCTCCGCAACCCCGTGGTCCCCCAGTCAGAGGATGTGGAGATCCAGTTAGAGGACCCGGAGGGAGCTGATGATCTTGTGCAGTTCGAGGACCCCAATCATGTGCCTGACCAGATGCAGACAGAGACCACATAGGGAGTTTTCTTTACTCTTTAATCCTTTCCCTGATCTTATTTTGATATTAGCATTGAGGACAATGCTATCTTTTATTTGGGGGGGGGGGGGTCCATTTTGATTTGGTGATGATTTGATGATATTGGTATGTAAGAACCAGTACACTATTTTTCTTTATCTTTACTTATCTTTATTTTCACTTTTGGTATGTATATATTCGTTATTTATACTTTTGGTATGTATATATTTTTACCATTTGATGTATATATTCAGTTTAATTTCCGTAGTTTACTTCATAACTTCTTTCGTTATTTTCCCTTATTAGCATAGCTTCTTATTTCCTTTAGTAGCTTCTTGCTTATTGGTTAGCTTCTTTTTCTTTCTTTTTTTTAAGTTTTATGTTGACAATAAGCCTTTGGTCTTCTTAATGCCACAGTTCTTTCCAAAGGTGTATGTTGTGTGAACCGGGTGGCTCTTCCCGATGATGGATGGCGTGACAACCTTCTTAAGGGATTGAGTCCGTTTTCTTTATGTTTTGATGTAAATAGTAGTAATGAATAGCAGTGTCTCAGGCAGGCTTCACTCGGGCCTAACACATCTACCTTCGACCTTATGGTTAGAAACAAGTTTATTGGCAAAGAATAGCTCTAGTCGTGACCTTTAGACTCTTGTGTTGACTAAACAATCATCGAGTGGCTTCTTTGAGCCATTTGTGATGCTCAATCTTAGCTAGGGTTGTTGTGGGCCCTCGACCCTGTTCTCTTTAACAATCCAACAGCTTGTGAGGTGAGGTATTGAATTGCAAGTCCAAGTTCCATGCCAACAAGTCTAGAACTTGCCATGAATGTTTGTCTAGGTAAATTTCCAAGTGTAGCTCGATTTGAGAAATGATTGTACGCTCTCTTTGTTCCAATTTTAAACTTAAAAGCTTCCATAGCCTACCAATATGATATCCATAGTCAACCCCTTTGAGCCGAAGCCCTTTTTCTTTCAACAACCACGTTACAAGCCTTTATCTGTTCTATGATGACTCTCTCTTGGCACCCGATCGTTACTTGGCATTCTTCATAGACAAGTAGCAAAAGCATATGTTTGGGGGATAGACGAGGAATGTG